AATTTGCCGCGACGATAACTGCCGCGCGGCTGCCCGCGCAACCGAGGCCGCGAACGCAACTTGTCGCTCTCCGAAATAATTCGAGTCAACAAACGAGCACGCTGGCATGCCTGCGCGCGCGCTCGCGTGTGTAACACAGCGGACACGATGTTTTAGTTTGAAGTCTGTTTAGTCAGTCTCGAACGAGATTAACGAGCGTTAAGGACGAGCCAACTCTCCCTTTCTCTCCCCGCGCGCGAGAGTCCGAAAAATCATGCTCCCATTCTCGAACGAAAATTCCCTTCGGGTGCACAGATCGTTTAATTCAACCGATACATATACCGTATATGTTGCCGAGGTCGTGATTTGTCTTTTTCACGTTGCCCGAGGATTATTCATTTTTTTGTTTTAGCGAAAGTGCAGGGTGATTTATTACGTTTACGCTCTGAATAAATTGACTGATTGGACGTACGTTTTAGTTGGTGTTTTGTTGAAATTGTTCAAGTATGCACAGCTTGGTAATCGTACACCAAAGTTGCACTAGATATAATTAAAAGTTTTATTGCGAAAATATCTAGTTTGGGCACTGTTTGGGGTAATTGATGTTCCAGTATATATATATATATATATATATATATATACACACACACTGACAAATCAATTACATTTCACGAAAGTTACAGCCGACTGGAACACTGAATTTAATCTCGCTGGAATAAGCTGTTTCGTAAACGGTCGATTATAGTTTGAGGGTCAGACTGTTAATAAACTTTACCTATTCGAATGTGAGTCAGCTTACTTTGTTTATTTTGAAATTTTATTCGAATATACATATATACATGTTCTAGGAGAAGGCTCTGTTTTCCAACATTAATTACATAGCTTATAAGGTAGGTAGAAACATCAGAGACATCGACAAAATTTTGAAATCTATATATACATTAACCAGATTTACAAACTAACTTACAAATAATATCAAACAACAGATCAGTCTGCAAACACATTATTGATTTAAACTCAATTCACTCAACTTCATTTTTAGCATTTAAGACTATATACTTGTTAAGATATTTTTCGACACGTAATAGCGTTTCGTTGCATCAGTTACGATAAAAGTAATCACTGCATACATCTTTCAAGTCAGCAATATGATATCTTGCCACGACAGTCAACGTTGCATACTCTTCACGGCTCCAATATAAATGAATCTCAACATTTTTCAACTTGCACTTGATATTGAACGTCTTCCATAACCGTACCTTTATCGGCATTTCCCACTGCCATAAGCCCATCGAACACGGTGTTAAAAACCTTACTTTTAGTTGACAAAGTGGCTTTACGAGCATAAAATGTTGAAATCTATTTAAATATTTTGCAATCGAAGTGGCATCACAAAATATCGTATTCTTTAAAACACCTTCAATGTTGATCGCGTGTCTATAACAGGCATTCTAAGTATTTAGGTACAGTTCAACCACTGAAACAAGTTTGTTGTAAGCTCCTGCTGATCTTATCTTTAGAACACAATTCCTAACTTCAAAAATGCGATGATAGCAAGATGTATTCTTATTCAGATGGAACAATTTGTTGTGCATTCATTATCATACCTTGACCGCATAAACATTGATGCAAATTCAGAATTTTCGTTAACATAATCCGTTGGAATCATGATTAACTGTCAATATACGTCATTGATACTAAAAGTAGTAATATGACATTGTCATTATTTGAAGTACTCTTGATACTTTTATATTTGCTTTTCGCTGTATTATTTTTAACTTTCATCTGACCGACTCAATGATATGTGCTGATGTCAAAAACTTGTTCTAAAGTAGAATGGACGTAAAGGAGCTGAGAAACAACCACAAAGAAGCTTGCGATAAAGCCATCTATATAGAATCTATACGGTCTTGAGCGTTCTCTTTTAATGATATGAGATTGTAACGCTCGGCAATCAATAAATAATCCTCGGCATTATCAGCTGTCAACTTTTGATAAAGAAAATTATCGCACACATCCCTCAACTGAGGAATATCATATTTTAATGCTACGTTCGCCATATTTTCCCACAGATTCTCCATGTTTTTCACTTCGCCAGTATAAATAAATCGCAACATTTCAACTATCACCTCATATGCAAAACCTTCGATGAGCACAGCAGTGTCGGACTTTCCATAATCCAAACTCTTAGCATACACGTCGGTAAAACCTCTACTACTTTTTAACAAAACAGATTTATGAGCGTACAAATATTGGAAATTTTTTTCTATTTGTACGATCAATGTCACATCACAATTTGCTTTATTATTTATAATATCTTCAAAAGTATACGGGAACCTATTATATATGTTAAAACTACTTTTATACAATTCAACCATTATGACAAGATTGTTCTTCGGCATATAGTAATCTTTTTTTTCCAAAAATTCTTCGGTTTGAATAAAATTGGCAATTCCCCAAGCGTAATATTTATTACCCGGTCCTTTATAATTTTTCTTTCGAATGTAATTCCTAACTCCACAAATGCGCTCATAACAAGATTTATTTTCTTTATCCATAATTGCGACAGAGTAATTTGTTGTATGTTCACTTTTGCTCCTTAACCGCAAAAAAAAAGACATATATTCACCTTTTTCGTCAGAATAACCTTTTGGAATCATTACTAACTGCCATGACATCTCGTTGGAATAGAACAGTGGCGACATTGCCCAGGTATCTGTGTCGAAAATTCTAATAGCATTTTTTATCGTCCATATCGATGTTTTTTGACGATTGATTATCTCACCAACCTCGGCTATAGCTGTTTCATCCATTTTTTAAAATCTCTTGACGAGTCTATTACAGCGATTGGATAAAACTTGATAACTATAACTGCTACACTGGCGCTGCTGGTAATATAATATTAAGAGAATTTATGCTGATATCGAAAACTTGTTCTAAAGCGGACTGAACGTATGGCAAGTCTATCATGACGTTCAACCCAACCAAACAACCGCGGGGAAGCTAACGATAGAGCCATCTATTCAAGATTTACAGATCGTTAAGAATTTCGAAATGCCACGTCAACAAAATTGCGAGTGTACTTATATCGCCTGCTCAGCAAATATCGATTTATCATAAAGATCTTGCAATAACGTGATTACTATTCTATTCCACAGTTGTATCCAGCAGCAAATCTAAAATCGACACTTTTTGTTATTTTGCTTGCCCAAAGTTACAATTAATATTGATTTGGATTAAATATTACTACAATAAGTCGTGACCAGTAAAAAAAAGAAGACAAAACATCGCTTCGACAAATTCATTTATTTTATCTATAATGATAGTTTGACTACGTATAATTGTTCACAAAGCAGACAAATACATCAAAGTTTATCAGTAGGAAGAATCCAATAGAAAAGTTAGAATCGTTTCATGTGTATAGAAAAAATGGATATTTAAAAAATGTATCTCATACACTGCTGATTATACAAACAAATAGAATCTACAATATTAAGACAATAGTCAGCTCAGTCTAATTTTAATCAAGTATGTATGTACATATCAGCATGCGTATTAACCATCAGAATATGTGGTTAAATTTTATGTTAAAATATTTCATCCTATTTCTTACTTTTTTCAGTAATTGATGAGACTATATCTTCAGCATTTTGTCTGAATGATATGAGACCATAAGTTTTAGCCAACTCTAAATATTCAGTCGCGTTATCATTTGATAAGGTTTGATAAAGATAATCATCGCACACATCCTTTAAGTCACGAATATCATATTTATGTGCTGCATGCAAAATATCTCGTACCATATTCTCCATGTTTTTGACTTCACCAGTATAGATAAATCGCAAGATTTCAACCACCACTTTATACGCAGTATCTTCCATGACTACAGCTCTATCGGTCTGTCCTAAATCCACACCCTTACCAAACATGGTGGAAAACTTTTTACTGCATCTTATCAAAACATTCTTATGAGCGTACAAATATTCGAATTTCTCTTTAATTTGTATGATTAATCTCATATTACAGTTTGCCTTGTTATTCAGAACATCTTCAAATTTTACCTGTTGTCTATCATACACGTTATAACTATTTGGATACAATTCAACCATGAATACAAGCCTGTTGTCCTCTGTATACTCGCTTCTTTCTGCCCAAAGTTCTTTAGACGTAATGAAGTTGTAAATTCCCCATGAGAGGCTTTTATTATTTCTTTTCGATTGTTCTTCATTTTTACCATAATCCCTAACTCCACAAATACGGTTATAACAAGGTTTATCCGCCCTATTCATTATGGTCATGGAATAATTTGTTCTATATTCAATATCACTTTTTAATCGCAAGAAAATCGATACAAATTCAGAATCTCCATCAACATAACCTTTTGGTTGAAGGATTAACCCCCAAAATACACCATTGATACTGAACAGTGGCGAGTCGACTCTCTCATTATTATCAAAAATATTTTTTATATTTCGTAATTTCCACTTTGCTGTCGTGTTGTTTGTGCTCACCTCATTGTCTGAATGATTTGGTGAAAACATTTTTTGAAAAACTATTGATGATATTAATGCAGTGGTTGGATAAATCTATAAATAACTATAAATAATACACTGATGCCGGTGCTAATATAACAATAAACTAAATATGTTTATGTCGAAAAGTTGTTCTGCAGCAGACTGAATATATTACCAACAGGTCTACTATAACGTTCGACCAACCAAAATGACCACGATAAGGCTTACGATAGAGCCATCTATACAAATCTACAGGTCGTTCAGAATTTGAGACGCAACGTCAACAAGATTACGTGTGTATTTACGCTGGGTGCGCAATAAATACCGATCTATTATAACGGTCTTGCAATAAGATGATAGCTATTCCATTTTACAATTGTGCAAGCAGCAAATCTAAAAATTACAATTTTGTATTATTTACCTAAAAAAGTTATGACTAATACTGATTCCGAATGAATATTACAATAATTCTTAATTAGTAACTAAAATAAGAGGAAACATTTTGGCGAATGAATTTATTATATCCATAACAGTTAATGTGAATAAATATGATTATTCACAAATTAGACAGATACATTAAAGTTTATCAGTAAACAGATTTCAATAAAAAAGTTATAATCATGTGTTTATAGAAAAGAATATACATTTAAAAAATATCTCACACATTGTTGATCGTACAAATATAAATGGAATTTGTGATAATAACACGATAGTCATTTTAGTCTAATTTTAATTAAGTTTATATACATATCGGCATGCGTATTAACCATCAAAATCACTGGTGAGAAAAGTATAAACATGATCAGTTGTTGTTGGATGTGTTTCCTTATCCTTTTCGTCAGTTAATGAGATGAGGTCTTCAGCATTTTGTTTGAGTGATACGAGCTTATGATTATTTGCAAGATCCAAATATGCACTGGCATTATCGCCTGACAAATTTTGATAAAGAAAATCATCGCACACATCTATCAAGTCGAGAATACCATATCTACGTGCTGCAAGCAAAATTTCTTGGGCCATATTCTCCATGTTTTGCACTTCGCCAGTATAAAGAAATCGCAACATCTCAACTATCACCTCATGTTTGAAACCTTCGACGACCACAGCTTTTTGGGCTTTTCCCAAATCCGAACGCTTAGCAAACAATTCGGCAAAAACTTTACTGGTTTTTGACAAAACATTTATATGAGCATGCAAATATTTGAATTTATTTTCAACTTTAACAATCAATGTCACATCGCATTCTTCCGTATTATTCAAAATACTGTCAAAGGTGTACGGGAACCTATTATAGACGTTAAATCTATCTGGGTAAAATTCAATTAATATGACAAGTCTGTTGCGCGACATATAGTGATCACTTTTTTCTAGAATTTCTTGACGTTGAATGAAATCAGCAAGTCCCCACGAGTGATATTTATTATTCGGCTCTTCGTTTTTTAGCTTTCGAACGTAATTTCTAATTCCGCAAACGCGGTGATAACATGGTGTATTATCTTTACCCATAACTGAGATAGAATAATTTGTTTTATATTCAACATCACTTTTTAATCGCATAAAAACTGACACCAATTCAGTATCTCCGTCAACATAACCTTTTGGAATAATTACTAATTGCCAAGATACACCGTCAATATTGAACGGTGGCGACACTGACCAGTTGTCTCTGTAGAAAATACTACAAGCATCTTGTGATATCCACGTTGCTGTATTGTTGTAAGTGGTTACACTGCCAACTTTTATTACAGAGTTTGAAGACATTTTTGAGAAATTGTTGACAAGTCTGTCGTAGAATTCGAATAAAATTTAACAACTATAACTGCTGCACTAACGTTGCTGATATTATAACATTAAGAGTTGCTGACATCGGAAAGTTGTTCTAGAGCGGACTGAACGTACAGTAGGTCTACCATGACGCTAAATCCAACTAAGTGACCGCGACAAAGCTTACGATAGAGCCATCTATACAAGATCTACAGGTCGTTCAGAATTGTAACGGAGTGTCAACAAAATTTCTCGTGTAATTATGCTGGCTGGCAACAAATATCGATTTATCATAACGATCTTGCAATACCGTGATCACTATTCCATTTCGTAGTTGTGTCAACAGCAAATTTATAAATAATACTTTTTGTACTTGTGCCTACATAAAGTTAGACGATTAATATTGATTCCGATTTAATATTACAATAACTCGTAATCAGTAAATAATAATAATAATGACGAAATGTCCCTACAACGAAATAATTTATTTTATCCATAAAAGTCAATGTGATATATATATGATTGCTCACAAACTGAACAAATACATCAAAGTACATTTACCAGTAGAAAGAATTTAATAGAAATGTTTGAATCATTCTGAAGAATATATAAAAGAAAATGGATATTTTAAAAACTTCACCCTTATTTTATTAATCGTACAAATATAAATGGACTAAAAAATTGTCATACATTCCATTTGTGACAATTCTTTACCCGGATTATTTTCATTTTAATTACTTTGATAGTACCAACAGTCATATATTAAACTGCAAATAATGGAATATAACTGCGTAACTTCCAAGTTAATCCAGCATCATATATTCTCTTGTGGCCTTTTCGATTTGGATGGACCAACGAACGTATTTTTCTTACGCATGTTGACCCGCTTAAACCAAATTTTTCAGGTGTGTTTTCGTTAGAGTGTCGATTCAATTGTTATTAAAAATTTGTCAACTATTAATAGTTAAATAGAGTTTTCCGTCAGAAAAAAAAATTCTTAATTATTTTTAGCGGGTGTTGAAATAAAAAGGGGATCCGAGTAGCTCAACCCTCCAACCACCAACAGTTACCTAGAAAAACATCGCCGAAGCTCCGAAAATTGCGATTTTTCGATTCTTTAAGCCTGTGCCAGGAATGTATCCCGAATATTTTTCAACAGGCTACGTAGTTCTAGCACATTTACTCGATAGTATTATCCGTAAAAACTATTTGCAACTTTCGAGTCTGTCGGAGTTTTAAAAAACACTCCGAATAGGACGGCGCGCACAGGGCGCATCTCGAAAAAACAGTACCTAATCTCTCTGGTTCTTATTTTATAACGCGAAAGAGGTTGGTACTTCAGTGGCAGCGGCAAGGAGGATCTTTCTACGGTTATACGCCAACACTGTGCCTTGGGCGTTAAGCACGTTAATATATCTGTGCGTACGACTGCACGCGCACGATACACGTGTGGGTGTTATGATATTCGCACACTTGGCGCCCAGGGCACACTGTCGATACCTACAGCACCAGAAAGATCTTTAGTGGCGACAAATAATCAAGGTTCCGACAGATCTATCTTCCAGATAGAAATCTGTATTAAGAAAGTCATCATGAACGTTTAGTTGGCCGGCATCATTGAATTATATGACAATGGTCGTTCGGATAATTAATGATTGGGCGAGTTTTAGATTGGAGCGAAGACTCGGAACGGCGCAAACGTCTATCCGGCAAACATTGATCCTTGCAAACGTTACGACTGCTTCGTCGAGGCGCCGTTAAACTAATCGCGCTCGCAGTGCAAGAAAACGTGGCGCGAGGGACGAGGTCGAGCAATCCGAGCACACGAGGCCCTAAACCCGTGGAGCGCGCGCGAGGGAAACGCGAGGAGGAGCGGCGGAAGGACGTCGAGCGAAAATTGGCACGGCCATAGGCGAGCAGCGCCGAAATGTCTGGCGGGCTGCCGGGCGCCGCCGCGTCGCGATGCTATATTTCCCGACGTGCATTTTGCTCTCCTATCCTCCCGGAGCTTTAATGCAGCGAGGTCGTCTGCCTGCACTGCGCGCGCTGCTCGGCGTCTTCTCTATGTACTTTCTCCTTGGACGCCGCAGCGAAGCTCGCGAAGCGCGCGAGGGCCCTTTCGTTTTTTCGAGGGGGTGGGGGGTATTCGATATCCGATTGTGAAGGATAAGACGCTTTTCCTGAAAAGAAAGCAAACGTTACGTAAGGATTTCGCCGCCTCGAAAAGAGCGAAAAATTTTAATCGCATATTACGTATTCATTCAACGGTTAGAATCGTAGATGCGAGTTTTCAACGGAGTTCGCGACGTTTCGCATCTGGACGAGTCTCGCTCTGCGCAGAGTCAACAGTCGGCCCGATACAGAAAGAGAGGAAGAGCAGCATTGGGTCTGTTAATATTCAAATAATTAACGCTAACGATGAGTGGCAGGTTACGGCACTTCGCGACCAACGTGTTTCGTTCTTCCTTTGTACTCGCCATCATTAAAGCATTGAAGCTTGAGCGTGCGCCAGATGAAACTTTCCGTGTCCGTGTAATTAACATTGCCCGGGCGAGCAAAGGGAATTTCGACTGGCGAGGGATTCCGCGAAAAGGAAAGAGGGATTCAGAAGCCATGATCCGAGCGCTGGCTGCTGTACGTCACGCGCGCCGGCAACAATACGCGTCGCGAGTGAATAATCAAGCGAGGATGCCAGAGAAAAAACAAAGAGAAGGTGACTAACCCGCGCCAGGCGGGAATAATGATTGATACTATTCCCGCGTCTGAATCGCCATTTTAATACGTGCGATTAGTCGACCCCTTTCTAATTTATCACGTATGAGCTTTTTCTCTTCTCGCTCTTTTCTTTTGCCAGCCTCGTCTGCCTTTCACTCTTTCAGCTTTTTTCTTTTTTCTCGGCGCTTCGCTAACGAATCTCTTTCCACCCCATTGTCTACAGGATGCGCCGCTTCTTTTAATTTCCCATGCACGCACCAACCTCCGCTCGCTTTTTTCGAGCTGTCTGGAGGATGTGTCCTCTCCTCTTTGTGACACTCTCTTTTTTTTTTTAGAGTGCGCGCGCACGCGTGTGTGCGTGCACAATCGAGGATTGCAGTGCGAGAGATAGCTTTGTTACATGCGTTTTGGGATTCTCTTTTTTCTTCCAGCTTTTGATGGTATTTCTATTGCGCGTTCCACCAATGTTTACTCCGCAATGGCAATTTTCTCGTTTCATTCTTTTCAGGTTGATGCCGCTCTTTACTCAAGATGACGAGGAGAAGTAGAGAAGCAAAGAAAAGTGACAGCAGTTGATTCAAGATTGAGCAACTATAAATTTTTCCGAAATCGTTAATCTCGCGTAACCTGTACTACCCCCGTCAAGATACATTTTTTCATTATGTTCGCTTGCTTTTTGACGTCTCTCGAGAGAGCAATTGTCAGACTGCGGGATATAACACGAAAAGTTCAGATTTATCGAGAGAGCCGCACGTACACGTGCACGCATACTCACGACCGAATACACACAACTGAAAAGAACTATCGATCGACGTAACTTTTCGCATGCTCGGTTTCTGCACGAAAGAAAAGTAGGTTATACGGATAGCGTAGCCAAATTTTACGCATTCGCCATGTGTCCTTCTACTTTGCATGCCGGATGAAACAAAGAAAAAGGAAAAAAGAGTAAATTTCTCCTCGAGCACCTTTTTTTTTCTTTTGCGAAAACATCGCAGATATAACGATGTTAATTTTATTAGTCGCATAACCTGCGAGAGGATTCTCGTTTCCACACAAATACAGGCGATGAAATCATAAAGCAGGATAATGTTCTCCGCCCGAACAATACCCCAGCAAACGCGTGCGCACAGGCACGAGCAGGACTATAAATATTCTTATCTCGAGGAGAATTGCCGATTATCCTACTGCATAAATTTCATAGTTTTTCACACTGGCCCGTAGACAAAAAGAGAGAGAGAGAGAGAGAGAGAAAGATTGTTGAGATGAGCGAAAATAAGGGCGTTACGTCATCCGTCGGGCACTCGTATAAAAATCTTATTAATCACGCGTAGCTTGCTTTATCCATCCGCGTTGGACGTTGTATATTTGTAATTGGCAATATTCTTACGAGCCAAGATGGCGAGTGAGGTTGCGAACGGTACTTCCGTCCCTGTGCCTCCTCCCACGTGCATGCATGCAATCGCAACAATCGAAGACGACGACGGACGATCGAGTCACCGGCGGGGAATGGATCCCTGTTTCGAAAAAGCCTTTTCCGCGACAGCGTCGGGTTTCGCGCGACGCGGGATCGTTTCGGGGCCTCGAAGGCGAAACGCTCGCCGGAATGTTCGATCGAACGGCACGCCAAGTTGACTCGACTGAATAAATTCTGGCGGGTGCTATTACTCAATCGCGCGCGAGATAGACACGAGATCGTTTCGCAGAAACGTCCGCGACTGATTGAATAATAATAATAAAGAAAGGCCTCCCGTACGTCGACGCAAATAATTGTAGGCGACACGCACCGACGGAGTTTCGTAAGCGGCGCGACGCGCAATAAATACGTTGAGCTGCCTGTCACGCAGCCGATCTCGATCGAGTATTTTATATCCGCGCTTGTTTCGCGCCTATTCGCGGCCGATCCGTTACTGCCGCGAACGTGAAAGCTGCACTCGGCGCTGAATCACCGATTTAACAGAGAGTTATAATGCGCAATGACGAAAATTGCCCTGCCGAGCGAATTTTGGTGTTGTCGGCCGAGCTTGCAGCGGCGCTGCTTCATTTGCAAAGCTCGAATTCGACGTCTCGTCGAAATTTGCGTGGCATCGATCCGACTCGAATAGCTCAAAATAGAAGAAAGAAAAACAAGCGATAGCACTTACTCTCCAACTCGCTCGCCGTTCCAGCAAGTCTTGTCGGGGTAATCTTCGCAGATGGTATCAGCCAGCGTGCCGTAAAACGTCCTCGACCTGACGACACTCGCAAGGAAGTTGCCGAGTTGCGCATGCAGTTGGTTTGGTGGCCTCGTGGACTGATGGGCCAAGGTCGCTGCCAGCGGGGCGCCCAACTGTCGGCCGTCGAGACCCATCAGCGAGCCGGCGACGCGCGTCGATGCGGCCACACTTGCCGGCACGGAAAAGTGCGCGACGTGTGACGATGACGCCTCCCATTCCGCTCGACCGCACACTATCCGCACCTGCAATGTTCCAGAGCGTCAACAAATTATTTTCGCCTCCATTGTCTGCAATGCTCTTCCGATTGTCGCGGAAAATTATCATTCGCAACGAATTTCTTCAAAGTCTTGCCAAACGATCAACAATTTCGTTGGTCTTTTTCGATTGAACATCATAACCACATAGTAACATTACAATTTATTATGATTAGATTCATCTTTTCATTGTAATTCACATTTACTGCCAAGATGTGGTAACAAATTAGGAAGAATATTATCAGAGCAGTCGGTGGTTTTTCAAAATTATATTGGCCTGCTTCATGTTTCTACCTGCTCATAGGGAACATTACAACTTTGCACGTAAAATGAATTTTTTTTTTATTAACAATTAATACCCGTACACTCTCTTCGAGTTTACGATAAAAATGAATCATTTATTACATCGCATCACAGCCGCCAAATTTTATCTATTTTCAACGGATATACTTCGGGTCAACGAGCTAATACGTTATAATTTATAGATTGGCTTAGTGAAGTTTTGTCGTAAATTAAAATTTATAATGCTCAATTTTAATACTGAGAACCTGTTTATTTTACGTCAATAATTTCACAAGTACAATTGTTTGTTACGCAGTCATATGTGAAGAAAATGTCAAAATAAAATCAAAACAATGCCCATTGTACATGGCTTTTTCAACCTTAATAAGGAATACTCAATAAATAATAATGTATTTATAATGCGTATTGTTTCGATTTAATTACTTTTTCAATCTAAATTACCCAGAATCCTTACTAAATAACAATCGAGATTGGACAAGCAATGTAAAATCAAATTACACGAATGATAAATTGCATTTTTTATTCTTAATAATTACGAATCCTCATTATATAATAACTGAATTGGCAAAACAATGTACGACGCGTGTTTATTCGATTGAATAATTTTTAGCCACAATAGTGTAATGAAGAACAAACCTTCTCCTCTTTATTCATAGACAGATGTTACTTTATAAAAGACATAGCTTCATATAATCTACTAATATTGTTACCACGAATTTCTAAACCTGAATCAATATCCATCAAAATTACTAAGGACACGAAATCCAGCTAAAGCATTAACAAATAATCTCGTCACCCGCACGAAATTCCATGTCGCAACGTCGATCGCCTTATATATTTTGGCCTTTAAATACAGCAATGGAAACTCGAAACGGACATATAAATATGCGTGACGGCACTATCTCTCTCTCTCTCTCTCTCTCTCTCTCTCTCTCTCTCTCTCTCTCTCTCTCTCTCTCTCTCTCCCTCTCTCTCTCTCTCTCGGTTGACATCCTCTCGTGCGGATAAAAGGCTCCAACGTGGGATTCACGAGATTTTCATTGAGAAATCGCTGCGAGGTTTATTGCCACGTGTGTGTCGGTTTGCTTTATTGCAACGTCCACGTTCGATAGCGAATTGCTGATTGAACGCCGCGCTACTTCCTTTTTTTTTACCGAAACCTGATTATCTTAATGATGTGGGTTTTCAAACTAAACGCTTGCAGATTATCAGCACGCGCGCGAATGATTTAGTGTTTCGTTAATTTTAAAAGTGATAGTTGATATTGAAATGTTGCCGCTGGAAATATAAATTGGAATTGAGAAAGTTGCCCTCGGATACGCTTGTAACGTAAAGCAAAATGAGTTTGCTCGATCCTAACAATAAACTGGCTTTTTTTCGCGAATCTCGCGTTTTTGATAGATCTTACGGAATCGATTGTAATGTAAACACGAAAGAAAAGCTGAAGAGGGGACGGAGAAAGGAGCTTTCTCGATGTAACGTTGATTTATTTTTAGTATAAGCGTCGAGATTTATCAAGCGCTCGCGGCACGCTGGAGGAATTCTTGGTGTTGTGTCAACAAATCTGCTAATCACGGAAGATAAGCGATGTTTTACGGCAATAACGTCAGCAGTAACACGCTGGGACTTCGGCCAGCTCATCGCTATATATTCGCGATGGTTTGCCCGCGCGCGCATAAAAGCCTCTCCTCGGTGAGAATTTCACCGGACAGGTTTCGACGATGACGACACGTGGCGACAAAGAAAGAATGAGAAAAATGGCACGTGACGCGCCCACATCTCAATCACTCCGGTCAGCCGTCTTTTGCATTTGTCGAATGGGTTATTTTACGAGGACGCGCGCGGTCAGTTTGATGAGTCGCTGCTTTTATTGCCGCTGCTTTTATGAGCGCAGAAATGCTGAATGAGGGCTCGATTTTACTCTTCTGCAGCGGCAGCAGCAGTAGCGGCGGCGGCGCGCAACTCTTTGTGAATGGAATCGTGACGGAAATACGCGTGACATTCGTGCCACCGACGGAATATTTATATTCACGGGCTAAGAATTGTCTATGATCTTCTCTAATTCATTACTCGTGAATTTTTTTTCTTCTTTTTTTATGCTCATGATTCAGAAGGCTATTCGTAGTTCGAGGGCTAAATATATAATCATCGAGCGAGTGCGAGGATTAATTAGACTTCGAGCATCAAGACCGAAACTGAAAATAGGATCATTTCCTGTCGACGTACACCGTTACAAGCAATTTTCAATTCCGCACTTTCATCGTCGTCTCTTTCTTACGTACAATAGGAAAATTTATTAAAAAAAAAAAAAAGAAAAAACAGAAAAAAACAAACGAGATCCCATTAGCTTGTCCATACTATACAGTCACGCGCGCAATTTATATCCGATAATGATCGCGGCATCGAGCGCGAGTTGGCTGTCGAAAGTAACTGCAGTGGAGGGAGAAGTTGCGCATTATGATGTGTTTTTCGAGACGAGACGGTCGACATTCGATGAAACGCGAAAGATGCAGCTGCAAGGAAAGAGACGGTTAAAATAGGTCGTCGTCGAATTGAAGGAACTGATGGTCGTTTTGTCGTCGTCGTCGGCGAGTTCGCGAGTTTACGCTTTTTAAATAGAAATCGCCGAGCGAAAGAGCTTGCGGGAGTTAAAATAGCTCTGGCAAAGTCGCGCGCGCATGTAGTTATTGGATTCGGATGGGAATTTCATTTCTCTGTCTCTCTCTCTCTCTCTCTCTCTCTCTCTCTCTCTCTCTCTCCTCTCTCTCTCTCTCTCTCCTCTCTCTCTCTCTCTCTCTCTCTCTCTCTCTCTCTCAGACGCGTTCTGCGGATGTCTAAGACGTTATCTCTTTTCCTTAAGTTTATTCCATTTGATTTTTACACGTGTGAATGTGAAATAGCGCGAGTGAAAAATAGAATAGTTAATTGAATTTTTTTTATAATTGCAAGTAGAGACACAATAAATATGTAAATCTAGGTATCCGTTTGTTTCATAAGAATCGATAGTTTTCTACTCGCATTAGATGGAGCTTTGGCTCTACGACCTGTAAATAAAATTAATGTCTTGAATTATCAAGAGTACGGTATTAGATGAATTCGGTTAATATTACAAACGTTCTTGCAAAGATTCTTGTCAAAATTGAAGTAATGGAAAATGCATTTACTTTTTACATACTTTTTGACCTTAAAAAAAAGAAAAAAAGGGTTTCATCTGAGAAAACCACTCAAACCACTAAGAGACGAGCTGAAAGATATTCTCATACGATCGACAATGCTCGGACGAGAGAAAAAAAAATGTTAACAACGCGGATGTATTCGCAATTGGAAAAGTAAGCAAGTGTACGTACGTGCACTTGAATGCGCGACGTGAACAAAAAGAAAAAGAAAGTAACGCAAGGGAGCAGGTGAAAAGAGTGGCATTCGAGCAGCGCGCACACTCTTCCGGCAAGAAACATCCTTTAACTCCCGCCACAGTGGAAAGAAAAAGAAAGAAAATGGACGGGGCTTCGAAAGCTCTTATCCCTTTCGGTGTATGTAATCTCGTCTACCGCAACTGGAACATCATCCGCTGCGCGAAGCGTAATTCGATCGGCGATCGAGAGACGCACGCGCGCGCACGAAAGCTTATCGCGCGCGCAAGGCCGACTTCTGAAAGTGCGAGCAGCGAACGATAATCTGGCCCGCGCTGCTGCGCATTAGCGTCTCTCTCTCTCTCTCTCTCTCTTTGCGTGGGCAAGGATGCCACGCATTTTTCGGGGGATCTCGCGCGCGCCGCTCTAGATTTCGATGTGCGGATATTTTCGTGCCAGCACTGCACACGAGCTGTAAACGAGCTTGCGTCATTTCATCGACGAGCGTACTGCTTCGGGATATTACCTCAGTTCTGATTATATGAACACGCTGGCTTTGTAGTTGCGATCGTAGCGGTGCATTCGGATTGTCCGCCTGTGCGCGCAGTATACCTCATTATTTTGCTTGATTAATTATTTTCTCAATGAATACTATATAGTGTGTTTTAACTTGACGTGCCGAAGAGAACAGAAAGTGCTTCTCTTGTCTACGATGGATGGACTCAGCTTACAAAAAAGTGCAGATTTGTACGGCTTGCCAATTCAATAGGAGATCTATACAACTTCCGTCCAGGTCTCAACAATGTTCCCTTTGGTAAATGTTTTTTGGGAATGCTTCCTCTTCTCCGGACTGTGGCTGAATAAAGACGTAAAAATTTACTTGAAAAAACGTCAAACAACCAAACACGCAGGATACTCAGCTGCACATTCCCAAGTCTATTTGAAGCATTGATTCACGCATATAATCATTGCTTCTTTCCGCACGGGAAAGAAAAATTATTCAAGAACCTTCAACAATACATCGCGCAAGACACACGTACACCCAAAGAAAAATCGGCGAAAAAAAGTCTCGAGCTCGGGGTCTCTCTCATGAAACTCATTTACCAACTCGTAAATCATGAAAAGCTTTTCTGGTACGGACCGAGCACACTCCAAAGTGACGAGTACTCCGCTCGGTTTGCTTTTGATCTCTCGCTCGAGATGATAAGAGGCCACTTCGAAGGCACTCGCAAAGAGAAAAAAATGCGTACGTATATACGCGAGAGAGGACGAGGAACAACGAGCGAATAGACCATTGGCGGATCTCTTTCGTCACTCGTGACTTTCTTGCGCACGCGCTTTATCCTGTGTCCAAATTATCTCGTCCCGTTTCGTCATTCCGTTGAATTACATCTGCCGAGCACGCGCGCCTCTGTAAAAAGAAGTTTAACAGGCGCTGATTCGTGAGTTGAAGGCGGCCTATTCCCGAACGGAAAACCACCTCGCAGTTAATTGCTCGATCAACGACCACCCGCGCGAAAGTCGCAAAAATGTCCGGGTCCGCGCGGCTTTTTCGCGCCCACGAGAGCGCGAGGGCAACTTTCAACGAACTGCGTCACTCTTCGCGTTGGAAAAATTAATCCTCGCGATGCTCGCTGACTAAAACTCTGCGCAACACTCGAAGCGTTTGCCAATTAATGGGCTCGCGGCGGTTTCAGTGGAACTCAAAAGAAAAACGTATACGCGACGAACTCGCTTCATCCCAACATTTGACATACACGCGTAGGGAAGCCCTGCGCCCGTTGCACGTTGTATTGTCTTGATATTAGAATCCGGAAATCGTGGCTATATAGCGTACAAAAGGGGCTTCGATAAAGGAGTGAGCATTCGCCCGCTGATTTCCACGAACGACGACGATTCGATAATAATTACGGAAGCTCGGAGCTTCGGTTACAAGAGGGCGGCACGCGACTCTGGTGGCAAAGGCTACTCGTAGGAGAGGCTGCCCTTGATAATGTGCAGTTATCTCGCTGATTGATTCCGAGACTTCGATCTTTGCGATTCCTACGAGTCTCCTTTTTTTTTCTACGACGGGTAACAATTGGACGGGTTGTCGAGTGGCTTTAAAGTGTGACTGTAAAGTGCATACCGTATTGCTTTGCCCGATATCATATTTGTTCTTGAAGATACATAATAGACGTCGGAAGTTTTCGAATGTCGGAATTATTAATAAAAGTGGTAACGGTCTTATCTTGAACACCTCAACAGTAAAAATAAATTAAATTGACTGACCACTGCAGCTGTAAAAAACAGTATCTTAATTACATACGACAAAATCTTTCCCATGATATAAAAAAAATCTATCGAGCTCGTTCAATTTCTCGCGCGTTTTAACAGTCACTCAACGATGACTCTTATAATACCGCAATAGACGGTCGATATCTCATCTTAGAAAACTCGAATCCCGCGAGAGTCGACGAGCGCAAAAGTATCGCTTTACTCGCGAGCTGCCCCTATAAAAATGCGATATTACAAAACGGCATCGCTCCGCGTTTCGAGTCCATTAAAGCCACAGTGAGAGAGGGAGAGCGGCAATGCATATCCGATGTCCAACATGAGTAAGGTACTCGCGCGCGCATCATCGCTCTCCTTTTCGCGGTCTTTGAAAGCATCCGTGAAAGAGGTTGACGGTCATTGTGTGCTTAGATGCGGAATATCTGAAAGCAATCGTAATATCAAATTCTCCATGAGATTCTTGATTGAATTTTCGGTTCGCGATCTTAATCGATCGAAACGGCTTTGTATTATCTCCAATAATGAATCTGCGATCAACTTTCCTTTCGATTTAAAATTGCTATAACATTGTTTGAGCCACTCAAGAGATTTTCGCGATCGTTTTCCTACGATCGCGAAAAAAAGGAAAGAAAAGATAAAAAGGCCTCTCTCGTGCTTCATTAAAATCGAGATTGAAAAAGCTCTCTCTTGTTAAACTTTCACTCTGTCGAAGGTGAATGAAAAGAGAGAGGGCGTCGAAAACCAGCGGCGCCTCCATAATTCGATATTCATTTTGTCGGACTTACTGACAGTCCCTTTCTAAATTAATTCTGAAAACGAACGCGTGGAAAATCGACGCTGGTGCAGGCAAGGCAGAACGAAGAGGGGCGGGGAGAGGGCGCCACGCAGACGGCGATTAAGCGAACTGAGCATCTAATGTCAATGGATTAACCGTAGGTGGGTGCGTAAAATAGGCTTGTAACGCTTTAATTCCGATTTTCAAGCGGAGCTTACGGCAGTGATTACCGGGCGAGCTTAAAATGCCTATATGGCGCTAGAAAGCACGCGAATCGATCGTAGCTGTAAAATATTTTCACACGCTTCTTTTACCGTGCAAGTTAAAGCGAAAAATGCTCAATAATACGTTTCCAATATCCGTCCGAACAATATGAAAGAACTTTGTTTTCCTTCCATCCACATCGTGTCGTGCAGTTTAAAGCGCACTTCCCTCCGTTTTTAAGAAAATGACAAACTCGGAACTACGGTCGACGGGTCGGATAAAAAAAAAAGAAGGAAAAAAAAAAAACTTTTAATAAAAAAAGTTTGAGCGGGCGCTAAATCACATTCCCCGCCTGCGATGCGCGGGGAAAAGCTCCGCCGCGCGCGATCGGAATGACAAAAAAAATGTATATGACGACCAAAAGAGCGCGATAGCGTCGTCGAGTGCAAAAATGAAAGAAGCCCCGGGGTAATGGTCCGCGGCATTTACGGAAGGTCGAGGAAAGAAAAAAAAAAAAAAAAAGAAGGAAGAAGAAGAGTTTTCCGCGCGAGTGGCGAGGGCTCGAGCGGATATGAAATTTGTCGTCGTTCGTCGCCCTTTTACCAACAGTTTTAACGGAAGAGAACGGATGGTGCTGTTGGCAACTCGATTAGGTCGTCGCTTCATTTTGCCGCATGGTTTATACGCTTGGCTATTGTGATTAATGGCGGCTCTGCGATAGCGCTGCGACAAAGAGACGACCTTTTGATTCCGGACGACCCCTTGAAATAGCGTTGCCGTGAAGAAAAGAAGCCTGGCGCTCTGGAATTTCATATTAACCGTTGTTTGTCTAAACAGGCCGGCAAACGATTTCTGCGTTTGCCGTTTTGGGATTGTGTCTTCATATTATTTTTACGTGAATGTCTGTTGGCTGAATCGCATAGATTGCAAGTATCAATCAATCGAAACATTCTTCACTTCGAAATTTTTCAAGTTAGATAGAGGAACATTCGCTCACAATCGTCAATGAATCTTGAGAAGAACTTGAATTTGTAAAATATAAAGAAGCCGTGCATTATGGAATCGTCTAATTTCGTTTTAAAACTGGTCGACGTTGGAAAGTTTTATTGTTCTCGCCTCGACTGAGTAGATATTGCGGCGTTTTCATTATTATTTTGTAGTAATTTATGACTCTACCGCATAAGTCGAAAATGTTCAAAAAAACCGGAAATGAATGCATGCATTTATTTCGCTTCTATTCACTAAAATTACTTTTAAGATAATTATAAGAAATTTCCTTGTCAATTATCAGTTCTAACTATACAATAACTACTACTTCACTATCAAATGGCACGACAAAAGAAAAATAATTCCAAACGTGAGAATCAAATCGCAAGGTATCGTTTACCTCTTACAAGGCCTCCCAACTTTTAAAAGCGACACATTTCAAGGCCTAATACCGTAACAAAGAAGAATTCAGCATCGAAAAGGAACGGAATATTAGCTCTCACAGGAACACACGAAGGCAAGCAAACGCGCGCGCGCACACACACACACACAGAGCAAGACTCGGAGATTATGGGAAAAGTAGCAGTTAAACAGCCACTCGATAAATCAACACCCACGAGAATGAGAAACGAAGCTCCGGGGAGAGGAAGAAGAAGAAGCCGATAAACGATGAGTCAGCGAGTTTTTGGGAGGACGAGCGCTCGAGCGTGCAGGTAGAATTGCGCCGCGTAACGAGCCGCGGCGAAATTTTTGATGTTGCGCGGACGAAAATACCGCCGCTGGCCTTTATCGGTTCGTTGGATTACGCGCGATCGTCGCGCTGAATCGAGTCCACGAGAGAGAGAGAGAGAGAGAGAGAGAGAGAGAGAGAGAGAGAGAGAGAGAGAGAGAGAGAGAGAGAGAGAATTCAAAACGAATGGACTTTTTCGTGAGGAACGATTACCCGAACGATAGGCGCGTACGAATCGCTGCCGAGAACAGCCGTTGGACGTTCGAATTTGGCATTGGGGGTCGTTCACATAGCGCGTCAGAAGTGCGGGTTGGGTCTATTAATCGCGCGAAGAATGCAAAAAGTAAGGGGGAGGGGTTGTCTATACAACGCGGCACCGCCAACCCCGCGGGGCGCGCCCACATCGCATTCCACTCGCGCGAGCCGTCTTCCCCTCTCCGTTTTTGACTGAAAAATGCCGACCGAACCAGATTGGCTCAGGTATTCGGCCACTTTCGCCTCTCGCTCTTGCCTCGTTAGCTTCGCTCGTCGCTTCTGTTGCGACGGGGGTGTACGACTCCGACGAGAAATAGAGAGCGTGAGAGAGAGAGAGAGAGAGAGAGAGAGAGAGAGAGAGAGAGAGAGAGAAGGACGAGCACTGCGTTCGCATTGTTACAACGCAATCCTCTTTCCTTCTTCCCGAAATGACGATAATTAGCAGTGCTCGGGGTGCGATAAGTGTTATTGCGTGCGAAACTGTTCGTCTGCCTTGACGGTGAATCGATGGGTGTGCGCGCTTAGTCAAAATCAATACGTTAACGCGCGATCGGCAAAGTCATTTCCAACGATCCTCCATTTTAATTCA